CCATAAAAAGAACAAATCATGAACTTCGCAGCACCTGGATGGAACTAGAGTCTATAATACTGAGTGACTCTCACAGAAACAAAGATCCGAGTATCACATGTTCTCACTCATATAATGGACCTTGAAAATCCAATGTAATACTATAAGAAAATGACTGATGGTACTGAGAAACTATGGGGGAGGAGATGGGATTAACAGTAGCAAATATCTGTCTGGGGATGGGGAAACACCTCTTATCAACAGGGTGACTGAATGAAACGTAATTGTACACCTAACCCTTAACTGTACCCCACAAAACCATAATAAAAAATATTGATTATGAAAAAAAAAAAAGAACTACTGATATACACAGCAAAAAAAAAAGAATAGTCATTCCAATGGGACTGTGACTGAATGCCAGGAGCAATTAATATTTCCCAGAAAGCCGTAATATAAATGTTGTCCAGAAATGGTCACAGCAAAAACTGTGACACAGCATCACTCCCTTTCAGGGAGAAGGTAAGAGTGTCTCCTTTTGTTCCAAGTACAGTTGCATCTAATTCTGGGAAAGCATCAAGTTATAGGGAAGCTGTGGGGAAGTTCAAGTATGTGTAGAAAGGTGCGTGTGGATGTTAAATGGCCAAATGGGTGAATTATGCTGGTGATTCAACTATTGCCTCTCAGCTTCAAACTCATCTTGTGCAGTGTTTTGCCAGGCTGGGGTTGGACTCTGCAAGCCATAGTTAGCAAGACTCTTAGATTCTCATTAAACTCTGCCTCCGTGGCACTAGAGGGAGCCTGGGCGGTGAATGGAGGAGCAAAGAACTCAATCCTTCCTGTTTGGCTTCCCATTCTTGAACGTATTACCCCAGCAAAGGTTCCTCACCCAGGCAGCAGCAGATGGTCTCAGTGACCAGGCTTTTGCCCACATTCTCAGAGCCCACCAAAGTATACCTCCTCAGAGACTCCTCTACACCCGCCGTCTGTCCCTTCCCTGGATATATAAGTTCCAGTTCTGCAGGATCCTCTTGTAAATGCCTGAGAAACTAGTACCAACCTCCTCAGAGAGTAGCTCTTCAGGATCCCTCCTCCAAGTTTCCCTTTGTTCTGGAAACATTGTCTTTCACTCCCTTGAACCAGCTCCACCTAGAGACCCATTATACTTCCACATGGCCAACTCCACACATATTATTCAGATTCTGTTATACCTTTCTGCCACATCTGACCATTGACCGCACACTTCTCCCGCCTTTAGAAGATATTTCCAGCCGGGCTCGGTGGCTCAGCCTGTAATCCCGCGCCTTTGGGAGGCTGAGGTGAATGGATTGCCTGAGCTCACGGGTTCGAGACCCGCCTGGGCAACGAGACCTCATC